CCGACATGCTGCTGAGGCTGGCTGCATACTTTTGTTTCAAAAAGCACTCCAGACTCAAACCACCTGTGAATGAGTCTGGCTGGCTGATTTAGTAGGGCCTAGTGCAGGGTGTCCTGTCAAAAGCCACGCTTATTTTCACAAAGGCAAATGAATCAGGTTTTATGTGGCAGGGTGACAGCTCGCTGGGACAGGCTCATTAAAGCTTTGTAAAACAAACTGTGAGCGAGAGAGAGGTGCAACATTTCCCTCTCCAAACCCAGAGAATAGACAGGCGTCTTATGGAAAAGTGACTCATAATCTCTGTGGTACATTCTGTTCATTCTGTTATAATAAACATGAGTGTTTGTTTGCTGAGTCCATCAGCATGCAGACCTAAACTTGATTAGGAGGACGAGCTCCTCGGCCACTGCCGGGCTCGCGTGTGCACCGCTGTTTGCTCGCTTTGTTGTATAACAGCACCAGTCATGTCAGCCTGCCATTCCAAGAGGAAATAACAGCACTTCCCTCATTTCTTTCAAATCCATCCCAAATTTCTGTAAAAGACATCAAAGCAATTACTCTGATGCCTCCCGTGCTTTCCAAATGAATCATCTTCTAAAGAAAGTGCTGGAAAATAAGGCGCAACCAAGGTTCCTTAATTCCAGGGTTTGAGACTTTTAAGAATCTCCTGGAAACAAGTCAAAATAAGAAGCCACAAACCCACCTTCTCATAAAACCCTTCTGCATGTTTTATGTATTTCTCTGCTACCAGTTGGGGTTGGTTTCATGAGCTACACAGCCAGGAGATAAAGCAGGTTGTGAGTCCAGCCAGGTGAATTAGCTGGCCAAATGTGCTCATTGCTGCTGCTGTTGGAAGATGACTTTTAAATAGGATGCTGCTTGGCTGCGAAATAAGGGATTGTCTGCTGGAAACAAGGGGACTTTGGGAAGGACTTTTCTATGCAGCATGAGCAGCAGTTTGGAAATCCGACTCTTGCCCTGTTATAAGAACGGGCAAGGTGTCCAAAATGTTAAATGTTCACTGAATTTCTAAGAACTGTAGATGGGGCGGGAGGGATTGCTTCTGACTTCAGTGGGAAGGGAGTTCGAGATTGGACATAGGTTAGAAACTTGTTGGCCTATAGCTTGAAGCACTTCAGCTATTTCCATGGAATCACTTGCTAATTTCAATTGCTTGTCTAATGCAGGGCTCCAGGAACTGGGGTTACTGTCCTGAAAAATCTGAAAGGAAGGGCTGAGGACAATGAACATCCCCTGCGTGGCTCTGGCAGGTAGGCATTCCCAGCTTCTGGGGTGCATGAAGCACCCTTAAGAGTGCTCATTTTGCTGACTTTTTTTCTTCTACCTTTATCCATATGTGGAAGGAACAGTGGCATTGCCATTGCAGACTCTCTCAGGCAAGAGGACCACACACCAAAAAGCTTTGGGGTACCAAACTGCTTAAGACTGCAGGTGAAACGGCTACTTCACTCCTCAGCCTGAACCTACCAGGGGTGTTCATGTTGGAAGTAAAAACTCTTTTGCCTTTTTGCTCTGACAAATATCTGATGATACTTTTTGGGCTGTTTTTTGCCCTGATAATTTTTTTTTTTTTTAATTTCTCTGCAAGTTATCCAGTCACTGAAATCCATTCATCCTTTCCCTCAAAGTCTCCTCGTTGAGGTGGGGAAGTGCTTCAGAGGCATGTGAGATGCTCTCAGTATGCACAAGCCAGCTCCAGGTTCCCAGAAAGAGCCAGAGTGTCCCATCCCACAGGGAAGCAGCATCCAAAGGCTCTCCTCACCCACTGCAGTGTCCCAGCCTCTCTCCGTGAGTCATGCATCACAGGAGGGCTTATCTTGACCATAAGTGAGATGTTTAATAAACCTGAGGTTTTTAATCTTTAGATGTTCACAGCTGTTCACAAAAACATAAAATACAGTCCAACATGAGCAGCTACACACTGGGAGAAAAAATATATAGCATTGTACTTGATTAGGGATCAGGACATCTCCATGGGCTCTTTGGCAGGAATGAGTGGTTGGCATTGTATTTTTCTAGGAATAATACAAGAGGTTTACCCGGTAATAGAGCCTGTTGAGTCTAGAGCAGCCTGCCTTCTTGTAACACTCCCTGCATGTCCATGCCTGTGTTGCAGGTGGAAACACCACATTTAAGAAGTGAGCAATGACTTAGAGGTCTTCACAACCTAAACTATTCTATGATTCTGAGATCACTGAGTTGAACTGACTTGATTTCTGCTTGGAAGCTGAGGACTGCTTTTTATCCCTATCAGTGGCTGTCTTCTTTCCATTGTGGAAATTGTCACCCTGTGACCACACCATCGAAGGGATTATTTAATTCTTTTTAACCTGCTGGTTATAGTTTTTAAACAGTATTTTTTTGTTTTGTTTTATGTGTGTGTGTGTTTAGACAAAAGCAGGCACTGTTGGAAGCTGCAGGTCTTTGCTCTGCTGACTCTGGTGAGGCATGGATGCATAAAGCTGTTTGGTATGTGCTGCTGCAAGAAATACATGTGCAAGCATGATCTGTGGGTGCAGGAGCATCTCCCAGGCAGCTCTAATGTTTGCTTTGCTGACAGTATTATTCCACTGAAGCAGCTTTCAGTTGCTTTCTACCTCAGCTTGTTTATCTGTAAAATGGAAATGGGGAAGTTCCTAGAGAACCCAGAGCCATATTTTTAATTATTCATAGCTTTTGCATACCCTTGAGGCGAGTATAAGCTGTAAATCTCTGAAGCTGCATACCAACATTTCTGTGGTTTGAGCATCAGGGGAGTCCCTTTTCCCCAGACACTGCTGTATTCTCCTGGCTGTGTGTTTCATGGCAAGCCTGTGTTCAGCCCTTGGCATGCAGACCAAGCACTGGGACCCTGACCCCTTTCTGTGTGCAGAGCCAGGTGTTTTCCTGCAGAGCCTGTCCTGCTGGGGGCTGAGGGCTGGAGCTGGGAAGGTGCCTGTGGTGTGCGCTGTGCGTTTGAGGTGCCGAAAGCGGCGTGTGACATGCCTGGGCTCCACAATCTGTGGGGGCACGGGGCAGGGGCCCCCTCCCAGCACCAGCGTGGCCCTTCCCTAAGCCCCAGCCACACTCTGCACCCAGGGCCAAGCTCTGCCTGAGCTGTGGGCACACACAGAGAATCTCAAACAGGATGGAAGGTTGCTCCAGGTCACCCTGTGTCTCTTGGTAAATGCCCTGTGCTTTACCATCAGCTCCCTGGAGGCTGTGCCATTTGACCTTACACTGGCTGTCCCAGCACAGGGAGGTCAAACAAATTGAATTTCTTTTCTAATCAGCTGTCTATGGCTTTGATCCCTGTCCATTGGAGACCTTGTGTGTTTTAGCTGGAAGAAGACACGCCACGTTCCAGCCCCTTCCTGCAGCCAGGGAAGCGGTGATGCCCCGGCAAACGTGCGCTCGGAGCAGCGCTCGGCCAGAGAGCCACCATGGGAGCCTCTGGGGAAAAGGATCCCAGCTTCCCTGGGCCTCCTTCTTACAGAAGTTCATTCCTTCCTATTGTCTTTGCAAGTTCCAACAGAACGGTAAGCTGCAGTAAAGAGAGGGGATATGTTCAATTTAAGCGGCGAGATTACGATGTTCCGAATAAAGCCATATTTATTAATAATTACCTCTCTGCCATGACTTTAAATTCAAGCAGCTGGACAGCCTCTGCTCTTTATTAATTTCCTTGGATCCTTGGCACAAAGCCCTCAATTCCTGTGATGTAATGGTATAAAAAGTTGGCTCCTGACCGAGCTCCCACCCACAAGTTCTAAATTTGGAGCATGGCAATTTTCTGCAGATTCCAGAGACAGACTATGCTCAAAACGTGCTGATGCCTTCAGTCCCATCCTATTGCACCAAACAACAAGGTTGTGTGCTTTTTATAACGGGGATCATAAATATGACTCAGATGCACATGTTGTCTATGTAAGCACTTGGGGTTGGCTATCACTTTATGGCACTAGGAACAAGCCAAGCCAAATAAAAATTGTTTTGAGTAAATATTACATTTCTAGGGCATGAATAAGTTTTCTGTGCAGCCAGCGTGTCACTAATGGGAATAAAGAAGACGGGGTGGGGGAAAGCAGTAACTAAATCACCCCTCTAAATACAGACAGTCTGCAGCAAGACCTGTTGTTTGGACTCGTCTGGGATGTGATATCCCAGATAATTCATAGCAGGTCTCAGCAAGGCCACGAGAGATGGAAATAAAAATAGCTGTATAGCTCAGCGCCGTCCTGCTGCGCGGCTCTCTTTTGGGTGGGATCTCCAGGAGTGGTATGTAAAACAGGCAAGCAGAGAACCCAGTGTCCTCCTCTCCCCGCTCCCAAATGTGCAGAGGCTCAAGCATGTGGATTGCTCCATGGAGATCGGTGTTGCTACTCACATGCTCAGCACTAAGCGTGTGCACATGTCTGTCCAGGATCCGGGCCAGAAGGAAGGATGAGTTTTATCATCCTGCAGTTTTGGGACCCCGGGGGCTGTCTGCACTGCAGAACAGGGGGAAGAAGAAAATGAGCCCACGTGCAGCTCTGCATCCAGAAGGAAGCAGCTCCCTGGCAGCTCCGTGGGGCAGGGATGTGCCATCCCACCACCAGCACAGGGCTGTTTCCTCACAGCTGCTGGCTCTGCTCCGGCTCCTCCAGCAAGCTGAGAAGTCTCAGCATCCCCCAAAATCCCAGTGACTCCTGCCCTTGAGCAGTACTCAGGGAACAGCTTATGAAGTGCTTCATGTACCTGAAACGCAAAGGGATTTTAAAAAAATAAAGATCTTTCTGCAAGAACTTTTCAGGAAACATTCCCTGATAAAAGGAATCCTCGCGTCTTTAAAAAATAAAAGCCAGAGAGAAATAGCAAGTGAGAGTCTAGCTTTGAAAATCATTAATGCCTTTCCCATTTTCCTGATGGGCATATGCATTCCTTCCTGTTGCACCTGTGAGCTTCTACATGTCAAATAAGTGCTTTCCTGAGCTTTGTTGTCTTCTTTTTTTATAGGCTTCTTTCAGATAGCAGGCAGAAAACCTGGCTTTAAAAGAGGAGCTCAGACAGGAAGCCAGCAATGTTCCAGGAGGATTTCTGAGTCAAGCAACTGGCTTCTTGAAGTGTGACTTTCAAAGATCCCTAAAACCATTGGCTGCACAGACGGAGCAGGTGAGCGGGGAGGTGTTGAGAGCCCTCGACATTCCCATGTCCCAGCCGTCCCTATCAGAAGCTTTTGAAGAGCTTTTCTGTGCAGTGGGCTGGACTGGGGCTTGCAGACAGAATGTTTGCAGGGCTGTGAGCCCTGCAATAACCACAGCAGCCTTGACGTCAGCAGACCTGTACCTCCAGGGATTAGTGCTGAGAAATCAGGGCCGGTTTGCCCAGCTAAGGCGGTTTTGACTGTTTGAAGGATCTGGGTGATAAGTTTTTTTTCCATGCTTTGAATGCTGCCAGTGGTCATTTTCTGCCAACAGAGCAGCCCAAACAGTGTACATGGGGCTGGCTCCCTCCCCTCTGTAATGTGTTTTACAATTTGGAGAAACTTTGTAACACAAGAAAGTGTTTTTACATATTAAAGCTTCTAAATTGTTAGAACAGTTGGAAAATCCTAATTGCCTTTAAAAGTCAAAAAAAAAAAAAAAACAGCAAAGAAAATATTTTGGATTGCAGAATGAACAAAACTGGGAGCTGAAGTTCAGTTTCCTGGACCAAAAATTTATTCAGGGAGTCCTGTCATACTTGTGACTTTAAAACAAATACTTGAACCTTCAACAAGGGATTTGCACCTACCCCCAAACTTGCTCTGAGATGCAGAGCTTAAGCTTAAGCTCCAGAGATGCATTGTTGAGGTTGGTCATGTTTAGATTTACCCCAGCATGTTGTCAGGGCTCTACGTGCACGGGAAGGGGAAAACCTACCTGGAATTGATTCAGCAGCTTGAATGAGATGACAGAAGAGGGCTTGGCTGGAGTGCTGGCCTAATTTCCATGAAACTTTGGGGGTAGATGAGTGGTGATTTAACTCCAGTTAATTAGAGGCTAAAGGCTGCTTCAATTTGTGGTTGTTACCCAAGAGCTCCAGGGAGGTTTTCTGGCTGACAGGGATCAGGAATAAAGGTGGAGGAGCTGGAGGTGACACTGCAAGGGGCTGGCGGGGGCTGATGCCACAGAGCTCTGGTAGTGCCCTGGTATAATTTGGGTTTTCCAGGCCTCATTCAGCAAGCTCTGATTTGCACCTGGTGAACACAGGTTCAGAGTATCACTTAATGAACCCTCATTTCGGGGACAGTTTACTACTTTGAAGATGTCTGTGTGCTTTTTTAATGGGTAAAGATCACCCATCTTTCATCAATTCCCAGCAGAGGCACAAGGAGGTTAAGGGACCTGACGAAGGTGATAGCAAGGCAAATTGTTTGGAATTTTGTAGCTCTGAAAGATCATCTTTCTAAAACAGGAAACCCTCTCAGGAGTAGTAGGTTTTCATTAAAACAACAGTTCAAACCTGTCGATCTTGATCTATCAGGAAAAAGAGGAATGTAGAAAATGTGAGAGTTAGCTTAGCCTCTCTTAAACTAAACCACCAGGTTCACGTTCCTATGGAGAAACAAATACCCTGCAGGCATCATGGTGTCTTTGATTTATTTTTGGAAATTGAAAACTCCCCCTCTTGGTGTCTGAGCTAAGAAAAAACAAGGATATTTTGAGCCAACAAAAGTTTCTGGAGGGGGCAAAAACCTCCAGTCCCACTTCTCAAGGGCTTATGTCACAAGTAGTTGAGCTAAGGTAATCCAACTTAGCCTCCCCTACGTTTCAAAACTGGGTTAAAGTTCCTAAGTCATTGAGGGAAAATGTTACTCAAGAGAGTAATGACTCTCTAATTGGCGTGTCAGGCCTTGGCAGCGGCGGGTGCAGCCGCTGGTTTCAGTCCCCCGAGCAGCTCGGGGTGACCAGCGTGTCCCCAGGAGGGAGGGGGTTTCGCGGCTGCCCACCCTGGGGTGAAGAAGCCCCGAGCCGCGGTGCCCTGCTGTGCTGTCAGCCTCGGTCATCCTCTGCCCGGCCCTCTCCCTCCTTCCCCTGGAGCCAGCGCAGCCCCGGGCAGAGGTTTTGGCCGCTGTTGGGTGTGGGTTTGTGGCGGAGCAGCAGCGGTGCGGTGCTGCACGTACACGAGTGACGCGGCTCGGAGCGTGGGGCCGGCCCCGTGGAACCCCCGCGCGGAGCCGCATCCCCGGGCGGGATCCGCACATGTGATTCATTAGGAGCCTGCCGAGCAGGACCGTGCTCCCGGCCTCTCCGGGGCCGTGCGGCGGTGTCCGGCTGCCATCTGGTGTCCGGCGCCCGGGGGGGCCCGTGGAACCCCCGCGCATCCCCCGCGCATCCCCCGCGCATCCCCCGCCACCGCGGCCGGCGACAGCGCGGCCTGAGTGCCATCCCCTGGGCTGCGGCCAAGCCGTGAGCAAATGCGGCCAAGCAGACTCTCAGGGCCCCCCGCCACGGTATCTCCCGCATTCCTGCGGCAGATCTGGTATTCCTTATTGTTCTCCCCGTCTCTGGGGGAGCCGCTGCCCGGCCGGCCTGCCGGGGCAGGAGCTGGCGGAGCCCTGGGCTGCGGGTCCCACGACTCGCCGGGGGCCTTGGAAAAATCGTGTCAGTCTTCTCACCCTGCTTCGGCATGCAGGGACTTGGGGCTCGTCAGGAGGGGAGAGATGAAAATGAGAAAAGAATGGGAAGCTGGAAGAGAAGCAGCGGCTGTGCAGCTCCGATGTCCTGGAGGTGCTGTGGGCTCAGCAGACGCTCCCTGGACCGGCACAGGCTGCCCCGGGAGCTCGCTGTGCCAGCACCCAGCACACAGCACCCAGCACAGGGCACCCAGCACACAGCACCCGGCACATGGCACACAGCACACAGCACCCAGCACACAGAACCCCGATTTTGCTGGCAGCCCAGGGACACCAGTGGCAAGGAGTGCTCAGAGCAGGGCGAGGGGACAGCAGAGCTGCCTCGGAGCTGCACAGGGCTGGTCCCTGGCTGCTGAACAGCCTGGCCCAGAACGGGTGCCCAGCACCTGGTGGTGTTTCCTTGTCCCCTTCCCCTCTGGTAGGCTGGTTCTCATACCCCATGACTGCACTCTTCCTTGAAGTATGATTTCAAGGAATGCATCCTCCGGATTTTCTCCAGTAGCAGGAAGGATTTGCTGGCTGGAGGTGGCTGAGAGCAGCTGTGGGCTTTGGCACTTGCCATCTGTAATGGTGACAGTGAGGAGTGCGTGCTGGAGCACAGGCAGGTGACTTTCTTTCGCCACAGGAGCCACAGGCAGCTGTCCTGTGAGACCGGACTTGGGGTGTTGGTTGTTCTGGGCAAGCCATTTCCCCAGGGAAGCTCCATGGGTCAGCAGAAACCCTCATGCAGCCCTCACAGGCAGGCAATGGCCATCTAAAGCAAACCAGCAAACACAGGAAGTGCCACCTCCATCCCCACAAGGAGCGATGCCACAACACTCAGCTTTTGGTGACAGCCTGGGTGTGAGAAGGCTGTACCCTGCTTCCATTATTTCCCACCTCCTGCCTGGGAATAAGCAGTCCATGGCCACATGGATCTTTCTGGCAGCGAGGAAAGCCTGGCTGGAAAATGGGGCACGCTCTACCCTCACAGAGAGATGTGGTGGTTAACTTCACAGCTTGGAGAGAGTAAATGGCTCAAAGCACCACTGGCAAAGGAAATGGTTCAGAGAACACAACCTTGCATGGCTCCAAATGCAAAAATGCAGCCCCAGTGTGAGAGGGATTTTATGAAAATGTTTAAGCAAAGTCTGACCATAAATAAGTTTTTTAAGTGTGGTTTTTTTGGTTGGGTTTTTTTCTTTTTTACTCAGGACCGAGGAACCAGCACCCCAGAGGACCTGCATGTCCCCCGCACTTGTACCTTGAGTCATGGCTGAGCTGCACAAGCCTCTTTAAAGTGAGAAATCTCCATGCTGGGGTAGGCATTGAAACAGCTAATTTGTGTCAACACCAAGTCCAGGCTGGTTTTGCAACTGTCTCATGTCTATGCCTGAGCTTTCAATCCCATCTGAGATACCAAGGTGTGCTGAGGAATAATGTAACAAGAGTGACAGCAGGTGAGTGTTTGCATGAGGACATTGCCTGGATCCTGTTAAAGGCCTTTGTCTGCTGCAGCCACAGCAAGCAGCAATTACTTTAACAACTTCGTGCAAAGCTGGTGCTACACCAAGCCCCTTTAGTAGGCAGAAGAGTGATGTGAGCTATGAGCATTAGTGTAGGGTAGAAAGGGTTTTTTTTTTGTAGTTTTATTCATTAAGGAATTTAAAGTAATGGTTGATGGGGGAAAGTGAGTGCGTTTGTGCTGGAGATCGTGATTCCTTTTTTTCTTGTTATCAATATTCAGTCCAGTCTGCCATGGACTTTCCTCTGACCCTGCTGGTGATATCCTTTTGCATTTCCTCTGTCAATTAGGCTAAAATATGAGAAAAAAAGGCAAGAGAAGGGCTCTTGTCAAGTGGTTCTTCCAGGGTTGTGCACACAGGTGTTAAAAACTGACTCTTTAAATCTCCCTCTCACAGCCTTTCAGGATGTTTCTAATGTTTTGCATCACACCATTCCAATTTTAATTTCTTCCGGAGGTGAGATGCAGCTACATTTGCCAAATATCATTTCATCTTATTTGTTAAAACAACCACTGGCCTTTCCATTTTTTGGAAGGATGGTGCTTTTGACACATCCAGGAAGCCAGTCCATAAGACAGTGCTTTTCTACGCTTTTCAATCCTGCCATTTCCAGGCAGTCGAAGCTCACAGCGAGAGTAAAGGTGTGGAAGCCACTCTAAATTCACGAAGTGTCACGAAGTTTCTGTTTGCACTTTATTTTGTCCCTCAGGGCCACATGAGGTGATACCCTCTCCTCACACACCGTGTGTGGCTGGAAGGGAAGAGCCCGAGCCCTGCTCCCAAAAGGGGAGTACGTGATGCTGAGCACATCCTCGGCTCGGGCGCGCTCCTGCAGCCTCGGGGCGCGTACGCAGCACCTGGGCAAAAGCTGTTTGCAGGGAAGTCACCTCTCTCGCTCATTTTGAAATATGTCTGAATTAGCTCACAGGCCCGTGGTAACAAAAAAAATCCATTTTTTTCCCTAGGCTGACGGGATGTCTGTAGGCACACTGAGCTGGCAGAGGAGCCCACCGGGCTCTTGGAGCAGGGACGGAGCTGCGGCGGCACGGCAGGGAGGTGGTGGCAGAGCGCTTTTCCCAGGCTCCCGCCGCTGGGAGGGGAAGCAGCGCCAGGGCGGCTGTCCCGGGACACCTCCAGAGCCGGGAACACCGCGGGATCTCCGCCCAGGGACGCCGGGCTGGGCCACCACGAGGTGGCAGCCGGAGCCCGGCGATGAGGCTGCCCCGGCGCGCCCCGGTCCCAGCTTCGTGTCCCGGCGGGGGCGCAGGAGCTGTCACAGTGACCCCAAAGGATCTGTTAAAAAAAAATATATAAATAAACCAAAACCAACAAAAACCAACCAAAAAAAAATAAACACGAAAAACAAAACAAAAGCAGAGAGAGTTAATTATCAAGTAATTATCAACATGCAATTATCAAGTAACCAGCAAGTAATGGCAGACTAGGAAACCGCCTAAAAATCTTTGTTAAGCGCGAAAGGAATTTGCCATTCTCAGAGGACAAGTGTACGGCACACCTGCCGCCCTTCAGCACCTCTTCCTTTGGGAACCAATAATGACCTCTTGCCCCGAAGCAGATTAAGGGCCTGGTGGATATCCCCTTTCCTGGCTCTGCACTGGTTTGCTCAAAAATTGTTTACGAAGCTGCTTCACATAGTTGAGATTAAAATCAGAGCAGTTATTTTCAGTTCGCTTTCACTGGGGGGGATGGTGCAGCTCTCGTTCCAGGTGTTCTGCATGACTGAGACACATTGAGGATCGCAGGATGGCCAGGGTTGGAAGGGACCTTGATGATCACCTGCTTCCAATCCCCCTGCCATTAACAGGGCCAAACAGGCGCTTCTTTTGGACCTTAATGATCACCTGCTTCCAATTCCCCACCTGCCCAGATAGAGATTCTGTCCTAGGACACTGTTCCTTTCCTCTGCAGAGGCTTTGCTTTTGTGACTGCTCATGCAGGACCATGAAACAGGAGTAACATGAGGTCCTGGAAGCCAGCCCGTTACAGTTTGGGAATGTGTGATCCAGTGAGCACGGCTCATAAATCAGCTCCATAAAATGGTCACAGGGAAAAAAAAAACAAACACAAAGAAAACCCCTAAACCAAACCCCATCCTGTTTTTAGAGGGAACAGCACGGTACTGGGGTTGTGGTTCACAGGACTGTTCCAGCAGCAGTAGGTAAATGAAACCTCAGTCTGGCAGACAAGACAAGTGGGCCGAGCCCTCCAGTGAATTTGCTAAGGGTTCAGAACAGCAGCCACAGCTTTCCCCTGGCCTCTGTGAAAGCCTGAGGTCTAGTCAGGGTTTCTTGGGCAGACCAGTGGCATGCCTAATTCCACAGTTCAGCAGGGATGTCCTGACCATGAGCAGGCTCGTGGTCTGTGGGACCAGCAGAGCAGTACCCCCGGCCCAGCGGCGATGGTGGCACAGCGGGATGCAGATTGCCATGCTCCCTGATCCATCAGCTGCGTGACCCAGTGTCGCTGTTGAGGCAGGACGGGAATGAGAAGACTCACTTAGAAGGCTGCTGAGAGTAAAACTCCGATTTATTTTAAATATATTGCTCTTTTATACAGAGCTTCGCAAAGGCCAAATCCATTGGTTCTGAAGTGAAAACAACCCCCACCATTGGTGCAGAGTGCTTGTGATAAAACTTAACTATAAACAGTGTGAGAACAAGAGAGATAAAGAATTATTTACATTCTCTTCAGCTCTTTCTCAGGTGTCTGCCTGGCTAGAAACTCTCAGTTTATTTTCTTTGACTGAATCTGAGTGCCACAACCCAGGACTCTGTGCTCCGTGGGGCTGCTGCTCAGTGTCGCTCTAAGGGGCACATTCTCAAGTGGTATTTTTGCTCAGCATGCAAATGGTTTAATTTTTAAACCAACCACTCCCCCCCAGCTTGACTGAGCAAGGCTTCTCACAAAGCTTTTTTTGTCAGAGCAAGCAGGGACCACGAAATTAAGGGAACGTTATATCACTTCCTCTTCTGCCAGACAGACAGACAGACAGACAGACAGGGCTGACACATTGTGAGGGGCTGCTGTGCGTCTGTCCTCAGCTCTCTGCTGAGCCTGCTCTGCCCTTGCCCCAGGCTGCAGCAAGGAGTACTGAATACGAATATTTAAGAGCAGAAGCGCTGCTAAAACAAAGACTATTTCTGTTATCATGTGATCACTGCCTTTATTATGCCTTTAACATGCCATTGATCCGACCACTAAACTTCTTCTACACAACACTTGCTGGATTTTGAATTCCAATAGGTCAAAAGAAACGCAGGCAATAAGACATCCATTAATTCCAAAATGTAAATGACTTTACATTACTTTATTAAACAGCCATTTCTAAAGAACAGTAAAAAATACGAAAACATGCATCATTTGGTGTTCTTAAAAAAACATTGTCCAAAATAAAGACTGTTAGAAAAATTAAACAAGTTTAGCCCAAATACCCCTTCTGCTCTCCACGTAAGATGTTTGGTAGCTATAAATACTGTTCCAGCTCCTTTAGCAAAGTTTAACCTTGTGTACATTAGTAATTCTATTACAGGTGGTAGGTTTTTTTATTCACATTGCTTCTGTAAACGTGATCAATTTAAAAAATGCACTGCTATCAAGTTTAAGAACTACTGTTTTCCTGTACAGTGAGTATAAATAGGAAGATCCTGGATTTTCCTGCCATTTTAATCAGCACTCAATTTACTGAAACATTAAAGATTTCAATTAGTATAAAAATAAATGTCTGATAAGATTCAGTATTTGAGTGAGTCTTAGTTAATAGGCAAATAAAATGCTATTTATGACTTCCAAATCTGGACACCACTTCTGTACAGCTTCTGCTCTTCCAAGACCCAAGTATCACAGTGCTGCACACCAAGGCACTGCTTATCCTCCTGAAAAAATTCACTTCTTATTTACTACAAATAATTTAACATGCAGCTGAATGGACAAGCAGGTGAGGGATGGATGGCCAGGGTACAGTCAAAGCTGCTCACAAGCCTCTCCAGTGGGCACCTGTTCCTCGAGAGGGCATCTCAAAATGTCTGTACAAGTTGGTAGGAATCCTGTTTTACTGAGCAATGCTGGTGTGGGAGACCTGCAAAGCAAAGTCACAGCCTTGTCCCTATTCCCTACAGGAACAGAAATAACTGGCTTTGTCCCAGGAGAGAATAGTAAGGCACAACAGCAGGCTCTTTGGGAAGCCTTGGTATGAGAAAGACTGAAGTTATTTTATTGACAGAAATTACTTTTTTTTTTTTTCTAAAGCACTATCACTACACATTTATAATTTCTATTTTAAAAAATTCTTACATTTTTAAAATCTGGTCTCCAATTGAAAGTAAGACAGAAGTGCTACATCTAAAAATGATGGGATGTTATTATCGGATTTCTTGCACAAAAACAGCCTTGACACAGAGGCTGCCCTGTGTGTGCTACCACCTTCCACTGATCTGCTTCAGAAAGCTGTGAGCCAAAACATCATCTTTTAAACTACGAAGAGAACTCTCAAGGCTTAATTTAGCACTTCTCTAGTATAAGACAGTACAAAAACAGTCTTGCACAACTGTTTTTTCCAAATGTCTTAGAACAGTGTTTTCTATATGCCTATCTCCAGTTCTTTTGCTTGGATTCCTGCAAAGAGAGGGAAACAGGACACCAAATCCAAGCAGGCAGCAGACATCCACTGATGCCAGCCCCCCTTGCCAAGGGAATGTGTCTGAGCACTAAGCACTGTGCAGAGAGCAACAGAGGGACAGAGCAAAAGTCAAAGAAGGAAGGAAAGGTAATGCTCCATCTCAGAGCTGGACACAACCTCCAGGACTGATTAATCCTGGGTTGAAATTATACTAAACTGAACCAGCAGAACTGCTGCTTCCCTCACCTTCTGGAATGAAAGTGATGCTGTCCGATTGGTTAGCTGCTGTCAGGTTGTTACAGGCTAGTACAGGAACAACTCTGGCTGTCACAAGCTACGTTTCAATACAAACTTTCAGTTGCAAAGTCTTGGAAAAGTGAGGGAAAACAGCACATCCTGTCAGACTCCACCCACTGGAATGGCTGAGCTCTGAGCAGACCCTCCAGCGTGGTAAACAGCATTTCTGAGCAGAAAGGCCCAACCTGCTGAGCAAACTAAACTTTGTAAGCAAGAGGTTGCTCTGTGCAAAGCAGAACGAGGGAGGTGGGCTCCTGTTCCAGGCCACGTGTCAGCTGCCACTGTCACTCTGAAGTGGCTTTCTTCCCTTTCCAGCTCCTTTGTCTTTCCTCCAGTTCAGCTTCAGTGAAGGCAGCTGGGCCCCAGTTTGTGATTAAGTGAGGATTCTTGCAGCCTGGAAGGCAGAGAGCAAGACCTGAGACAGGCAGTTCTGACAGGGACATCACACTCCCACAATGCAGCGTTCAGGCTGATCCTTGCTTTGTTTTCAACATAAAAGAAACAAACAATAATGATAATAAAATCATTATAGTAGGGCCAATAGAGGTAAAAACTTGGAAGTTCCCATCAGCAGTTGTCACAAAGGGTGATATTTATAGGCTACTGTGAAACCACTAAACTACAGGAAAAGGCAGACTTCAGTAAACCACCAAGTGATATAAGTGCATGAGACAGAATAAATACATATTTTTGTAAGTCTTCCATTGATAACTCACCTGGCTCTATTAGTCGAATCAATCCCTCATGATGAGCTACTTTATCTTTCCAACTCTTGGTGTTGTTAGCTGCTGTTTCCAACTTCTTCTTAACCTCCTGAAATAAGACAGAGCCCACTTGAAAACAACAGCTTTACTCTGTTTTTATATAAAGATACAGCACTTTTTAAACCAAAAGCCAGAACCCATGCTATTTCCCCCAGCCCTCTGTTTAATGTGGAACCATCCTAAGTAATTTAGCCACTACCACCACACCCCCAAAAAAAAAAAAAAAAAAAAAAAAAAAAAAAAAAAAAAGTTGTCTAACCAGAATCCCAAAGTAACAAGGTTTTATGATAATTTTGTAGCTTTGTAATGAAGCTAGTCTTCATTCTTCAGCCTAGTCTTTTGGGCACTTCTAAATGGAAGGCTAGATTGTGTAATTATTTCTAAAATAATTTTTGTGTGTGTTTTTTGTGTGGTTTTAGATGTCTATTGTATTCAGCAATTCCTTTGGAGTAGTAAATGATGCTTCCCATACAAAAAGCTGAGATGTCACTAAAAAAGAGTCAAGTACTAGCCAGAAGCAATCTTGTGCACTGTGAGATGTAACACCAGCCTGGGAAGTTGTAAAGTGGCCACACTACCCCAGCTGGGCCCTTGCTTGCAGTGAGTGCAGCATTTGTGCTCTGTGCCAGGCTTGTCCTTCAGAGCTCACCCCATAAACACCCTCCCCTGTCAAACA